CTGGGAAAGTCTATGCCAGGGTGCTGGAAAGGAGAGTTTGTCCGGTAGTCGAACCTCAGATACAGGAGGAACAATGCGGTTTTCGTCCTGGTCGCGGAATACTGGACTTTATCCTCTCAAGGATACTTGCTGCTACTTACTGCTTTTTGCGGAGGATGTGGTTCTGTTGGCTTCAACGGGTGAGGGCCTCCAGCTCGCACTGGAACGGTTCCCAGCCGAATGTGAAGCAGCCTTGGTGTTCGCCCGGACAAGCTAGAGGAGGTGGCTGGGGAGAGGGAGGTCTGGGCTTCTCTGCTAAGGCTGCTGCCCCCGTGACCCAGCCCCGGATAAAGCGGAAGAAGATGGATGGATGGATGACACGTTTCGTACTGAGGTGAAAAGGAACGCAGTTTGTCCTGTACTTCATCCAACAGAAAGGCACACAGGCTGGAGGACAGGCTGCAAAGTGCTTGAAAGTAGTGCAATGCACTTGGTCTGAGTATAGAGTCTGTGTGTGGGGCCTGAGTGATGAGGGTTACTAAGATCATGGTCCAGATTGGAGGGTGGGTGGGCAGGGGTTCCCTCCACATAGACAATAGACAAGTCTACACATGAAACCAACCACTGACGCAGGAGAATGTAATTTCTATAATCTGATTAGTCAATAAATCAGTCCATTTTAATTCCTGTTGCTGCCATTGTCCTTGTGATTTCTAGCTGCTTTTGTCACAAAAAGCATCTTTAAAATCAAGGCTTGAAATTACAACAAAAACCGAGTTACAGAACTCACATTTTGGGTGTGTCACTTTATTTTTACCTATTTTACCACTGTTTTTAAATTTTGAGTACTTCACTGATGCATTTTGGCTACAATTGTAAATGCAAAATCACAACTTAAATTAAGAGTGAATTACAGTATAACCACATCCAGTGGCTATAAGTCTACTTGTTCAGTTTGGTGAGACTTTTCTTAAATCAGTTTTTTTGGGTTTGTTAGTCTTTAATATTGCCTGGACACTAGAGAGAAGACAGGAAAGCTGGGCGAAGGCACACGTGAAATGGCTTCAAACCTGGGCACTGCATTAGCTCTGCATTGGCCTTAAGGACTTCTCAATCCAATGAGCTAAACCAGTGCCCCAAGTTTGAGAAGAATTCATGGTACATGAATTAAGTATATCAGATGCATGTATATCACTGAACCGATGAACATTTCTCCACCCACCCCAGGCATATAGAGCATGTCTTCTTGACCCCATCATCACAGCTTCATTTCCCTGCTGTGGACATAACCCCTTTAGGTGGTTAGACAGTGCATTCACATTATTAAAACCAAAACCCCATATTTAGTAACCCCTGCTGAATTGCTTTTTACATCTCTCGCTCTATCCTCTGTCCTATTTATGGTGGATCTATACTCAGCAGGACATTTCTTTGCATTATCAATCTCACTGCTTTATGCCATTATTTCACTCTTGTACATGGGGTTTACTATTTCCAAAGGCCTGTTGTTTTCATTTCCATTTAGCTCTTTCTTACTGAGTATCAGTCTTCACAGGCATGTAGTTTAAAAGGGTTCTGTGGAGAGGAAGAAAAAAAAGCAAAAAAAAAAAAGCATATGACTTTAAAGGAGTCTTGCTGGAAGCCGATGCAGAGCTAACCAAAGCCTAGCTCGTTTTGAGAGAACACCAGTTCAATTGTCCTTTTTCTCCTCTGGATTTCAGCTGAAAAGAGAGAAGCAGTAGTGTTAGACAAGAGAGTCAACACTCTGTGAATATTTTCCCTTGTTGGCTCGTTTTATTTTATGTCAAAACTATACAAAAGTAATTTTGGTTAAAGAAAAGAAAAAAAAGAGAGAAAAGATCATAACACAGTGGACTTTTGCTCAAATTGCAGAACAATTGTAAATGAATTGCCTTTCATTCATGTGGTGACACTAAGATTTAGTGCAGCCTGTGTGAAATTGTCTTTTTGCAATTTAAGTAGAAAACTTGAAAAAACTTAACTTTTCTTGTCTATTTAATTTGTTGTCTTCAGTTAATGTACAGTTGGATGAATATGTTTTTGTACAATGACACTTATTTGGCCTCTGTACACCGCCACCATGTTCAAATGAAATAATAAAGATGTGATTGAACTGCAGACTTTGTTTCAAGAGATTCTACATATTTATTTAGTCTACTAAACATTTTAAAAGTAATTCTACAAAATGAATTTTATTATGTTAGACTAACAGACAGATAGCTGGTGGAGCTGCAGTAATGCAGATATTGTATCAGTCAGTCATGGTGAAGAGAAACCTGAGTGTGAAACCAAACCCACTTATTTACAGTTCTGGTAAATCTACACTGTCCCTCTCATCTATGACCAAGAACTGTTTTTATTGACAAAAAATGTGACAGTAACAAGCGAAAACACACCAAAGATGAGTCCTCCACAGTGCCTGTATCTTGGCGTATCTCAGTTACTTCGCTTGTTTAGTATTAAGTCTGAGCACAGTTTAGCCACATGTCAGACTGGGACAACCAGGTGGTTGGGCACGGCTGATTCCCATGGAGTTCTCAAGGAGGTTATCCTGGGAAGAAGGTACAGCCAGCACAACTTGGTTGATGCACGTCCATCCGGCAGGTCAATTAGGGTTCAAGACTTTGTTTTGAGCATGATTTTGCAAACTTTACAATTGTGTGTGTGGAAATGCTGGGTACACTTCTTTGTTTTACTTGGAAAACCTGAAGTAGAGCATGTCTCAGGAGGAGGCCCCAGGGTAGAAGCAGGACACACTGTAAAGATTATGTATCTTTTCTGGCTTGGGAATCCCTCACTAGACGAGGTGGCTGGGGAGAGGGAGGTCTGGGAATCTTTGCTTAGACTGCAGCCACCATGACTTGGACCTGGATAAGTGACAGAAAATGGATAGAAAAATGAATTTAAATATAAGAATTGTTTTTAAGTGACTGTCCCAAAATTCCCTCTAGCCAATGTCTGCCTGAAATCTCAAACCAACAGATACCACCAAATGCTGTTTCCTTTCCTTACAGGCTCTGCTAGGCCTTTACTGGGGATTGAAACACTTAGGGAGGGATCTCAATACTGCGTTGTATGTGGCTGATAGCTTGTCTTAAAAGCCACTACCTGTTTAACAATGGTCATTCACAGACAAAGTAATAAAGGAGGCCATTTATGTCCTTCACCTCACACCTAGGACTCTCCCTCAGTTGTTTTAGAACTGAAGAAGCCTCTTGAATGAGAGGTGACATGTTTTTACAAATCTAAAGAATTCCAATTAGCCTCTTTTTAATCAATCAAGACTTCAATGTCCTGGATGCCTAAGAACCTATACAGACCCTTTGATACCCAGACAGTACCCTACAATGCCATGATATCAGCATTACAGAGGAGCATAGTCAGTTAGCTTCATCCAGCACAGCGCAGTAACACATTGCCTACATAGCCTGTGTATGCTGTGTGGGTGGTGGTAGCCCCTATGTAGGAGAGATGAGTATTTACCCATTGGGAAGAGGTCTTTGCTTATGCTCTATCTCTCTGCATGACCCACATGGAGAGGGATTTAAAAGTCCTGATGTAGCTTTGTCAACAGCAAAACATTGGAACAGCTTTGCTTACCTCTGCTTTATAGATAATTTTTCTCTCTCTGTGCAACAAAGCCTACACACTGAATTTTAACATGTAAATGTAGAAGTATTTAGGTTTTATAGTTTTTAAAATGTATATATGAATGCTTAATGGATTTGAAAGCATACAAACATATATAGTAGACCACGGTTTGAATGAGATACATGAAAGATCAGTATGTGGCTTATAAACATCGCATAGAGAACAGCAGGAAGTTGCTAAAGCAGCGGTAAGCAACGTCTGTGCTCCATCTTTTCAGTGGGAAAACAATGTCCGTGTTACCTAATCCCTAGCTGGATAGACAAAGAAAAAAAGCATCAGTGAAGCAGAGGTAAGCAACATTGCCATGATGTCTTGCTGATGAGAAAGCAACATTAAATCTATTAAATCCCCTCTCTGTGTGAGCCGCGCAAAGAGAGTTCAGGCAAAGCAGCTCTGAGCGATGGAGAAACAACCTTTTCTCAATAAGCAATCACATGTCTCCACTACATAAAACCTAACACAACTCACAGTGGATGTGCATCTACAATATGTTGCTGTTCTGTCTAGGTGAGTTTATTTTGTTTGTTTGTAAGCCTCTTTCATGTGCAACTTCTCTTTGGACCTCATATTGAGAGTTCCGGTGAAAAACTGTTGAATAGAAGGTCAACAAACCCCTTGAGTCAAAGCTGAATGTAGTAGATAAATCAATCATATGCTCGCTCCGGAATTTGTGTCACACTCACTTTTTTAGTGTATGATTCTAGTATAGGATGGCAAGGAAGAACAACATCTGGCAAAGTCAGCATTAGTAAGCATCATCACATAGCATCTAGTCAGAAGGCAGTAGTCTGACTCTTTTCTGGCATCATATTTTTACAATTGAACTTAAGTTTAGGTTAAAAAGTACAATTTAATTTAAAATATATGCTTTCTCAACTTCACACACATATTACAATATTTTCTCATCTGCAATACACCTTTTCATCATTTTCCTGGTTACCACAGTTTTTACACAATTCTTTGTGACTCTGTATTATTCTTGTTTGTCTTTTCTTTCCCCTTACCACCTAACTGGTTACTGGACAAAGAGCCATTAATTAATAAAGTGCCTTTTAAAACATTGGTCACTAAAGCTAACATTATAATACAGCATCTCAGTGTGTGTTTCTCGTACTTACTCTTTTTTTTACTTTGACAGTTTCCTGTCCTGTGTGCAGTATGTTCAGTTTTGGCTCCTATCTCTTTTTTTAGATTACGTTCAGCTGTGTTTCCACCTCGTTTGCCCCGTGTATTTATGTCTGCATCTCCCCTCTGTTTGTTGTTGCGTTCTCTCTCATTTCTTGGCTGTGTGTTCTGTCAGTAAGTCTGTTTAGTTTAGTTTAGTTTCTAGTGCCTTTCAGTTTAGTTATTATATTTGGGTGAATCCAACAATAAAGCTGAGGTTTGAGTTCAGTCCTGCTTGAGTGTCCTGTATTTTGGGATCCAATCCAACCTGCCTCACACAGCGTGCTATGACATTGATGTGACACAGTGAAAGAGCCCTATGTCATTTAATGCCTATGTGGCATTAAATGACATTAATAAAAAGAACAAACAAAAAAAAACCCCAATATGATTTCTTTTGGTTCACTTGCTTTGTATGTGGAGAATATAATTCTAAACCAGCTGTAGGAACATAAGGAATTGATGTTTCAACAAGTCTGCCTGGAGACTTGAGATTATGTTTTTTAAATGCAAAAATATCAGAGCTTTTGATGTTTTGAAGAACACATTTTAAAAATTACAATTCATTCACTTTGTTCTAATACACCTGCAAAAATATGATAATGAAGATAGGTTACCTTCCATGAAAATCAGTAGGGATTACATTATTGTAAAATACAGAGTTCATGCTTTTTTGATTTAGTCAAAGTCAACAGACTTTGACTAAATCAATTAATTATATCTATATCTCCCCTCTGTTTG